TTATATTCAATAAAGACAGTTCATGTTAACATTCAATAAGAGCGAACTTGTGTTTATATTCAATAAAGACAGTTCATGTTAACATCCAGTAAAAGTGAACTTGTGTTTATATTCAATAAAGACAGTTCATGTTAACATTCAATAAGAGCGAACTTGTGTTTATATTCAATAAAGACAGTTCATGTTAACATCCAATAAGAGTGAACTTGTGTTTATATTCAATAAAGACAGTTCATGTTAACAACCAGTAAAAGTGAACCTGTGTTTATATTCAATAAAGACAGTTCATGTTAACATCCAGTAAAAGTGAACCTGTGTTTATATTCAATAAAGACAGTTCATGTTAACATCCAGTAAAAGTCAACTTGTGTTTATGTTCAATAAAAAGAACTGTGTGCACTATGCTAAGAATTTAAAGCACCTGGCGAGTCATGCTAGGAAATTAAAAATGGGGAACGAAATTGTAATTTTTTTTCCAGATAACTAGTCCTGGGTTAGTATGATTATGAGCTTATAAATTCTAAAAACATTCAGCTCTCCAGTATTATTTTATGTTGAAGAAATCCATTTTATCCATACTAAACTATTATTAAGTTTTCACTAAACATCCAAAACAGGACGATTTTTACAACAACTCTTTACTCTTCATGTTGCTATAATATGAAAAAATGTTATACATTTCAAAAATCATTAAAAATACAAGTTTATCAACATTGTGTGGAATATCTTAGTTTATTTGATGTTTAAGAAAAATTCAATGTTGTCAGAGTTACACTGGAATCAAACAGATAGTTTACCTGTAATTTTAATACTAATGTGTTTGGTAACTTTCTGTTTGATATTTGTGAAATATATTTTATATACCATGTCAAATATAGACCAGTCATCATTACATATGTTAAATTATCGTTCTGTTCAACCTTTGGTTTTAAATTTGCCATAAAAAATGTGTAATACTGTTGTTCAAATGTAGATAAAAATTGTTATATTACAGCCATCTATCTGTAGAGGAGCATTACAACAGTTTTTTTTCTAATTATTTCAGTGTTATTGTATGGAACATCTTAAGGAGGGAGCCACTGTGTGGCTGCCAAGCTTCTCAAGGCACTGCAGGTAATGCTTACACACTTTGTGCAGCAAACACTGTGGATGATGTTTTTGTCACTGGAGGAAGGTGTGTAGTACACTGTTTGTTGTTTGTTTTGGTAAGAATTAAGGCACTTAAGTTGTTTATTTTAACACTGTGGATGATATTTTTGTCACTGGAGGAAGGTGTGTAATACACTGTTGTTGTTTTTTTGGTAAGAATTAAGGCACTTAAGTTGTTTGTTTTAACACTGGATGATGTTTTTGTCACTGGAGGAAGGTGTGTAGTACTGGATGAAGTTTTTGTCACTGGAGGAAGGTGTGTAGTACACTGTTGTTGTTTTTATGGTAAGATTTAAGGCACTTAAATTGTTTGTTTTTAAGAGACATAAAGAAAAATATTCCTTATAATTTACTGCTGTATCGAATGAGCAATTAATAAAACATAGATATGTACTTAACCACAAACTTAACGTGTATTTTATTTTGTAACATTACTTTCAGTATATGTTAATATCGATAGAAGTTTGGTTTACAATTAACCTGTGTCAAATTTAAAGAATTTTAAGTAGTTAGACGTTTTACTTGAAACTATTAGTATCTGTTATAGCTGTTTGAGTAAGGTAGACAGGCAGATATATTGTTCATTTTGTGGAATAATTTGTTTGATATTTATTCTTTTTTGAAGTTTGACTAGAGATGTACCATTGATTTTGAAGAGGCATTTACTATAGTCTGTTGGTAAGATTGTTGAAACTGTAACATATTTTTTCAGTAGAAGTATCCAATACTTGTTTTACAATTTGTAATGTTTCTTTCAAAGCAGGATAAAGTATAATATGTCTTATTCTTCCAGTTTATAAAATCATGTATACATCTGAAAATAAGTAGAAAAAAAAAAAGCCAGAAAGCAATCTACATTATTATAATTTTTGTTCAGAGACACCTTGAGAGTTTGGAAACTAGATCCTGCCAGTCGTAGGATACATCCTGCCAACGTCTCTTTGGGACAAATTAAACGTGATGTCCAGTGCATTCAGGTAGATGTGCTTAGGATGTAAAGTATAGCTAGAGTAAGGAACAAAGTTGATACATGAATCATACATAAAGTAATTCGCAAATATACACTCGAATTACTTTATGTATGATTCATGTATCAACAAAGTTGATACATGAATCATACATAAAGTAATTCGAGTGTATATTTGTAGGATGTAAAGTATAGCTAGAGTAAAGAACAAAGGTAGGATGTAAAGTATAGCTAGAGTAAGGAAAAATATACACT